AAGATGTTGGTTCCTCTTTTTTGACTGAGTTCTTATGTTCTTCAATGCGTGCACTTATTCTTCTGTTGGTTTGTCCGATGTATGTGGTGGGACAAGTGGTGCATGGGATTTCGTATACTCCTTGATTTTCTAATTCAATTTTATCTTTGGGGTTTCTAAGGATGGTGGATATTTTTCTGTTTGTGCAGAATGCTGTTTTGATGTTGTGTTTATGGAGGATCTTACTGATTCTGTCTGTGGTGCCTTTTATGTATGGGAGGAGGGCTTTGCCGTTTTCTTGTTCTTTGTCTTGGATTTTAGTGGGGGTTTCTTTTTGGATTAGGTTTGTAATCTTATTTCTTTGGAATCCATTGGATGTTAGTACATTGGTGAGAGTGTGTAGTTCGGTTTTTAGGTGTTGTTCGTCAGCTAAGCGTTTTGTTCTGGAGATGAGTGTCTTGGCTACAGAGTTGATCTGTGCTGGGTGGTGGTGTGAGAGAGCGTGCAGATAGCGGTTTGTGTGTGTTTTCTTCTGGTAGATGGTGTGTCCTAGGGAGCCATTGGATTTCTTGTAGACTAAGACATCCAGGAAGGGAAGTTGGTTGTTAGCTTCTGTTTCCATGGTGAACTGTTAAAAAAAACGGTTAACTGTTATGTAAATTTATGCACATGCTCCCCCTTCTCATTTAGCCCTTTGCTCTGATGATGTTAACAGGTTGTTAACGAAAGCTCAGCAGTTAATAAAAAAAGCCTTTTATCTTACATCCCAGAGCTCTTTATTTTTATCTGATATATATATATATATATATATATATATATATATATATGTCCTTAATAGTTATAATAGTTATTTATTGTTAAAACCACATTTAAAACAATAAAAACAGTTATATACAAAAATTAAAACAACTTAGCTTTCGCTGGTCCTCTGCCAGCGTCCTCAGAGTGGGGCTTAGGGGGTGGGAAGTTCTTTTTATCCCCTTGCTGATCCAATTGCCTACTCATTGCAGCTGCTGCCAACACCATTGCCCCCTGTGCGCTCACTGCCTCCTGTGCTGGCCACGCCCACCCACCCCCCAGGGCTGATGACAATCTTAACTGGGGCTTATTTTTGGGATAGGGCTTATTTTCTGGTTGGGCCTTATTTTGGGGGAAACACGATAATTGTTTTCCATCTATATTTTATAAGGTATATTTTTCCTCATGTTTTTCCTACTTGTGCTATATTGTTTATACTTAGTTCTGTATATATTTAAACATAAATAATGAAGTTCCTGTGATAGTCAGGATACAATCCTATGCCAAAATACCTGTGAGCAATCCTCATCAGAATATTGTTGAACTTTATTCTGTACTTGACAGATCCACATTAGATTTTTTTTCTTTAAAGCAATAAAGCCTATAAAACACTGAGCCATCTATGAAGCTATTTCCTTTCAGAACCAGTCCCAATGGCTAAAATTAATACCATTTATAGGCTTATAATAAAGAATAAGTTATTATCTGGAGAAGATCCAAAGCTCTAAGAAGCCTTAGCACAATTAATTATATGGGTGATGAAGATTCTGTACCACTTCTTCAGTGGCATCCTGTTTCTGTAGTGTCTAAAGCAATTGAGATATTTTCAGTCAAGATACTGCTGCAAAATAATCATTACAAACATAAATAATAATACATTTGCATCACTTATTACTCCTATGAGAGTACCGCTCTTTCCTTGAAGGACTTAGCAATACAAAGCCATGAATAACAATGAATTAGTTTTCACTAATAAATGACCTCAAAGAAGCTTCTTGTTTGGAAGTCTATAGAAGTTCAGTAGTACTTTTTTCCCCTCTTTTCATATACAGTATTCCACATCCTTTTTTTTTCATTTCCTGAGCTCTTTCATTGTTGTTTTTAATTGACTGTATACTGAAGCATCTTGAATAAAATAATCCAATACTTTCTTAAAGGCAAACTAGAAGACAATTGCTTTATTTGCGTGTCTGTGATAGGGAAGGGAAATCATAAGTAGTGTGGTGAAGTTTGCTTGAAGTGCAGCCTTTGAGATCTCTTTGACTGGAAAAAGAGCTAATACTTCAACAAAAGTGGTCATTTAATTTGTACTCATAACTAAAGTATTTTTTCTGCAAGAGACAACAGTCCAAGAAGTGGGAAAGTGTTGTTTTATTTGGGGGAGTAGGTACTTTTATAGAATGAAATCAAAATCTTTAAAATTCTGATTGTAATATAGTAGAAATGAGTGCAGAAAAATCTAATGGGAACCAAAATAATTATAAAGTATAACTACCATTTGTATAGAAATCTTATTTCTATTAATCAGACAAATACATAAAATTCAAGAGAGGAAATATTGAAAAAAAAATATTTTCATATAACTACCATGTGACAAACAAGATGATTCTCACTAATAAATAAGGCATATTATGCAAAGATAGACAGAGAAAGAAAAAAGAGGAAGTGAAAGATTTTCAGTTTTTGAAACAAATTAAACTCATATACTGCAATGAAACGCAACGAAATTAGTAAATAATTTTTCTTTGGAATCTAACCTGGTTTAATTTCTAATTATCTGGGGGTTTTGCCTTTAAGTAGTCAATATATATGGTAGTTTTTTCTTTTAGGATCTTTGAGATTATTCCTGCTTTGAAAAACTTTCTATGATATTTTCCCCAAATTCATGGCTTTCTATGCTAAATATTTATGGTTCAGACCTTTCTGAAATATAATCTCTATTTATTTTAGAAATCAATATTGGGGTACAGTAGTTTTTTAATTTCATTTAGTGTTTCTCTATTCATAAAATTTACTAAAATGTTTATTTTATAATTCCTGGCTAATTCTTGCAGTATAATATATAACTAATTTGTATCATTTTTAAACTCTTCATTGATTTATTAATTGTCTGCATTTTTTTTTTATTTTTGAACTATATATTTGCAGCAGAAAGTTGCAAGGAATCCCAGACAATAAAGATTAAAGAAGAACCAATGGAGGTTGAGATTCATGACTCCCATGCTTCTGTTTCACCTAGCCAAAACGTCAGTTACAGCACTTTACTCAGGCAAGAGATAACTGAACAGGTTCAAAAGATCCCTGAAAGCCGTGTAGTTCCGGAGAGAAACCTCTTTAGCCAAGATATATCTGTGAAAATGGCTTCAGAATTACTTTTTCAATTGTCAGGTAAGTATTATATCTAGAGATTCACATTATACTTTTCCAGATTTGTCGTGTCTGAATTTGCTGTGTGTTGATTTTTAAGTATCTATACTAATATCTAGAAGCTGCAGTTATATATATTTTCACATTTACAAACTTTTATTAGTTTATAATATATGATACAATCGAAATACAAAGTAAATATTGGAAAAGATGGGGAAGGGAAAAGGGAGTAGAGAAGTGAGGTCAAGGAGAGAAAAAATGAAAAAAAGGCATTGACTTCTGATTTTCTTTTGTGCAATAAAGTATCAACTTCAAATTTGAAAGTGTTATACATATTTAAAATAGTCACAATGTGTCTTATTTTGGGGAAAGCATGGTATGTATAGAATAGCACTACTGAACACCAAAGACTATTTCTAAATAAACATAGTTATTATGGTTACAATTCAATTAGAAAAATAGCCTTGCTTCACCATTTAATTCCTACAAAAAATCACCCAAAATTAGCCAAATGTTGCCATCTGACTAGTCACCTTTGTAAGCAGTATAGCAGGAGCTACTGTTGCATATTACAAATTAACTTCTATATTTTTCCATGATTTTCATAAAAGAAAATATAGGAGATAATTTACCCCTAATAATTTCCTAAGAAAGTATTTAAATAATTATCTAGAAATAGGGGGGGAAAGCATGGACATCATCTGCTTCCTTTTCTACTTTTTCTGCATTGTGTGAATTGCAGTGTAGAGGTTTATCTAAGCTTTAGAATAGATTACCTCTAGAGTTCATTCTTTCTATAGCTCAATACAATATATGGCTACGTTCTCAGTATATCTTTTTCTTGTTTGCTTGCCTTACTTTATTCTTCTTGCATACCAAAGAGAGCACACAGAAACTGTCATTTAGGCCCCAATTATTCTGAAAAAGGAAATGTGGAACTCCTCAGTAAGACTCATGTAAACAGACTTAACATTTCAATGAGAAGCTGGAGAAAATGTTTAGATAGGTTAATGAATCCATATAAATATCATTTTTCTTATTAAAACGGTAATACTTTCATGACCAAAATTTAATTTTATTTTGCTTAAATAATAATTTATTTTTCCACAGAAAAAGTGAGCAAAGAGCACAATCAATCTAAAGATAATACCATCACAATTACAACTAGGTAAGTACTACTCATGATAAACAAAAGTAGGCTTGATAAAGTTCAGTGTAACATCATTTTTATAGATATTTAGCTCAGGTGTCCAGCAAATATTTTATTTCATATTTTAGATGATAATATGTATCTAATGAAAACTCGTGCAGATAGAGATAAAACATTTCCAGTAATGTTAAAATAATTAAGAGGGAGAAAATAGTTTTTTCCCCTGGAAAAAAAATAAACTTTGGGAAATAATTGAAATATTTGCAGGCATAAAATAAAGTTTTTTAAATAAAATGTATTACATATAATTTCCTTATAAAAATATACAGAATGAATAAAAAATGAAAGTATAGCTGTTTCAGATGTATTTACAAATATAATGATTTGATCTATTTTTACATATTTTAATATTTGATACAAATAAGAGGTATAGACCTTAAGGCAGACATGTCGAACTCGCGAGGTCATGTGATGTCGCGTGACATATCAGAGCTTTTCCCCCATTGCCAGCAATGGGGTGGGCACAGTTTTGTCATGACGCGTCCGGCCCATGGGCCGGCAGTTTGACACCCCTGCCTTAAGAAAGTAACATCTCTTCATTTTTGCCTATTTAGTAGCAGCAGTTACAAAAAAAAATCAATATGAAAGAGAAGGAGCTGTTAACATCAAAATACATCAAACAAAAATATTCATTATGTCTTCAAGTGCTTTTTTTTTTTAAAAAAAATAGTTTTAACGGGAAGGAGGGAGGATCAACTTGTTAACTAATATCATTTTCTGAATCTGAGATAATCTCATTATCAAGTCACTCTTTCCTCTGATCCTTCATTTATATCATTTTATCTTTTTATTTGTATTTTTAAATGTTATCTGTTTTGTTAAGATTTCAATAAGAATACTAGGAAACAATTCATATTTTTTTCTTTTTCAGTCTTTGAAAAAACCAAACAAAATGTCTTAGATTTTCTAAGATGTCCTCCTTTTTTAACCAAGCCTTCACATCACTATGCGTGGTCCACAATCTAGCAAGAATTGAATATAGTTAAATCCCTTTGATTTCCTACTGAAACTATGTGATTTACTATGGCTGGATTATAGAATGTCCTGTTTTTATTAATCTTATTGACAAATACTATATATCTCTGTTTGAGATGTAATTAAAAATGCAAGTCAATCATGAAGCAAATTAATGAAATAGTCTTGATATGCATATAAATTATAAGATTGTATTTATACCATGCATCCAAAGGATTATTTTCTATACTCACTGTTGTCAGTCACCATGGATATGAAACCTCATCATTTTAAGGCAAACTGCTGACCAACACATTGCTTTACTTTTTCTTACTTAATCACTGATGTCATGTGGATTATTCTCATGTCTGTTTGAGTGTAAGAGGAGCAGTTTAGTACCTATCTTCTCCAGCTTGAATTTGAAAGAAAATAAAACATGGTGCCTCACCCTCGTAGTCTTAAAATAGATTTTATTTATATCAATGGGAACTCTTTTTTATGAGCCTATTGCACCAGGCTGCAGAAGCAGGGAAACTCTTCTTAGATCACTGCCAGAGAGGAAATAATCATAGTTCCCTTCATGTTTACTATTAATTAAGGAAAATTGGATATGTGGCTGTTGGGAATTTTTATTTTAACTTGGCATGATTTCTCCCTAAAATCTCACTTATGTTCAGTTTGGCAAAAAAAACCCTGAGTATGATATCAAATTTCTTACCTTGTTTAATCCAATGTTAAGAAGTTGCTCTCAGGAGATTCTGAAAAGACTTACATTTAAATTAGTCATTATAGTAAAAAAGTAAGCAACCTCAACCTCTGTATAGAGGGACAGTAATGATGGTGAAGCCAAGAAGAATTTTTGGAAGGCAGAATAGAAACAGGGCCAAGTTGCCTTTCAGCTGCTAAATAAGTGATGCTATAAGATTATTTTTCTGGACTGGCCTGTTAACTTGGTTAAGATCTCATTTCAAAAAATTACAATCAAACCTCTTGGATCCTCAAAAATAGTATTTAGATTACAATCATGAGGAAAAAAAACAAATCAATCTATTGAAAATCATGTGCAATGCATTTGGGATAATAGTCAATTATTCCTAAGTTATTTACATTCAAATATCATTGTAGTCTTTTTCAAAATTTTATTCCTTCCTTTGAATTTATCATCCAAAGCTCTCTTTGGCTTTTTGAACATGACTTTAAACAATTACTTGTATTGTTTATATGGAAATTAGCTAGTAAATTAAGGCAGGTGCTAATTATTTAAACAAGCCATTCAGGTAGTGCTGGGGAGACAGGGAGGAATAGCATTATTACATATTATAAAAATTCAGACACGCTATAAGAGTGCTAGTAGTACTATCACTACCTAAATAGCTTCCTTAAACAACAGATAGAATGCATTGGCTCAGCCAAAGAGGAGATAAATAATTGTGACAAGAACACTTAACTTCAAAAGATTCCTTAATTACAAATACATTTTCCCAAAAAATTAGCTGTTTACTAAAGGTCATATTGGAAATAAACATTGTGCTTCATGTAAAAAATATTAAGAGGAGGTGTCAGTCTTCACACTGACTTTTACTTTATCCAGACCACTTGAATTAACTTGGCTGGAACCTGCTTCTGGTATATATAGTTTGTCTTTGCAGTGAGGTGCTTTATAAAATCTCATATAAACTGCCCTATGTCCTGAAATTCCTCTACCAAAAGTGTGCAATTCACTAATACTGCTTTTCTGAACATCTGCATTGGCCATGGAAAATAATATTTATTCCAGAGTTATATTGGAAAGATCTTGAGATTTGGCCAGCAAAATTAAGGTTTTTTTTAGCAGTTGGTTAGCTTGTTTTGAATCATTTTCAAAATATTTTTGACAGTATTTAGGATTGGGACATAGTTTGATAATACGAGTCCATAATATTGATTTTTGCAATAATTGTTGTGAAAGTTTATCAAAAACATGCTTTCAGTCTTGTATATCTCTAAACCATAAAATTCAAAGAGATGCACCATGTGATATAGTTATGCATTAACAGGACTTATTTACTAATTAATATATATTTCTGTTTTAAAATCATTTTTCCTCAGCCCATTTTTTTCTGAAGATACTTTTAGACAATCACCATTCACTTCCAACTCAAAAGATCTTCTGTCTAATGAGAGTGCTGTTCAGGGAAGAACATCAGTTCTAGGTATAGTAACACCATGTTTCAAATGTTGTGGAAAAAGTGCTAAACATAATATGTCAAATAAAAATAGTGTATTGGTTTTTACTTAGTTTAACAAGAATTATTATTAGTTCAAATTTGTTGGGGAGTTGGAAAAAAATGATTAATTGCATGGGAAGAATGACAGTAAAAACTGTGAGAATGAATGTTAATTAGAAATTCCTAATTAGAATACTGTGAAGAATGTTGATCTATAGCAGTCATGCCAAACTTGCGACATGCGACGTATCGCAACTTTTTCCCCCATTGCCGGCAATGGGGTGGGCGCAGTTTTAGCGTGACGCATCCGGCCTGCTGGCTAGCAGTTTGACATGCCTGATCTATAGCAATTATTTCTCTGGATAGCTTTTTCTGCTATATATTCTCACTTGCAATATTGTCATAGAAATTGTCTGGTTTAAGCATACATTGCATGAAGCCATAGTGATAGGATAGGATAGGATAGGATAGAATAGAATAGAATAGAATAGAATAGAATAGAATAGAATAGAATAGAATAGAATAGAATAGAATAGAAATTGGCTTGTGGGGTAGAGTTTAGATTAAAGATTGCATAAATAGCATATTTGTATTAAAACTTGGGCATATTGGCCGGGATAATTTAATCCATAAAATACGTAATCATTCTGTTAGTGTTTTCTGCATCCAAGGTTAACCAAGCTAATATGGATCTTTAGAATCTCTTGCAGCTCCTGAAAGATTTGGTTTATTCTTTTATTGTTGCTGTATAGAACTGTGTGAGATCACCACTTTGTAGAAATAAAGTGTTATGGATGCTATGCTATTTAAGATTCTATTAAGATTTAATATCTTTTGCAATTGTTATTAACTCCATTTTGAAATATGGGTAAAATATAGTCTAGTCATAGTCTGGTTTAGTCTCCTTTCATATTTGTCCAAAAGGCATACATGACTGTGGGAAAGAGTTTACCCAAACACAGTAGCCATTGTTTTCTGGCTGTTTGGCCATAGCTAGGAGAAAAACCTCCCTAAAAAATTAAATACAAGTAGTCCTTACTCACGAGAATTCATTTAGTGACTGGTAAAAGTTACACTATTGAAAAAAGTGACTTATGACCATTTTTGGCACTTACAACAGTTGCATTATTCCTATGGTCACTTGATCAAAATTCAGGCAGGCGATAACTGTCTCGTATTTATGATGGTTGTAGTGTCCTGGGTCATGTGATCCCCTTTTGCAACCTACTGACAAGCAAAGTCAATGGAGAAGCCAGATTAACTTAACAACCCTGTTACTAACTTAACAACTGCAATGATTCACTTAACAACTGTGGCAAGAAAGGTCATGAAATAGGGCAAAACTCACTTAACAAATGTCTACTTAGCAACATAATTTTTGGGCTCCATTGTAGTCATAAGTCAAGGACTACCTGAATTATGTATTAGAAAATTAAGGGAAAACAGAGCTATATTAATGAGCATATTATTTCTATCTTCACAATTTTCTATAAATTAGAATTTTTGTGAGGTAAGGGATGGAGACTAGAAAGCATTATTGTTCGTACTTGGTGCCTATACTTTGAAATATTCTTTCTCTAGAACAGTGGTGGCGAACCTATGGCACAGGTGCCAGAAGCGGCACTTGGAGCCCTCTCTGTGGGCACACGTGCCGTTGCCCCAGCCTTGCCTCCCCTGTGACCCCCTCCTCTCCAGCAGCCCCCCTAAAGGAGAGTCGCCCCCAAGCGTGGCCCACACAGAGCAATGCAGCCAAAGACATGGCAGCCAGGCAGCGTAGACAAGACTCTGCCTTCGCACCCCATCATGCAGTTGATGCTGCAGGGCGCGGGCAGAGGGTGAGGCCACCATAGCGCTGCTGGGCTGCCTGGGCCCTGGAGGCGATGAGTGGTCCTGTGGGTAGGTGGGGTGGGGAATGGTGGGCAGAGCAGGGATGGGGCCGGTTTTGGGGCATTCGGTCTCTAAAATGTTCGCCATCACTGCTCTAGAACTTAGATTGGTTCCTTCAGGCAATGTTTTTTGGAAGCCAGCAAATACAGAACTCTTCCAATGTAACCATCACCATTTTCCTTTATTCACTTTTTATTCCTTTTATTCTTACTATTGGCTTTGCTTTGGAATTTTTAGGTATTCTAGGCACTGATATTCTGAAGGTTTTAATTAAAATAATATTTTTCTCCTGTTCTTGTCATAGATTTTTTTACTTATTTTTTGTTTTTCTTAGATGTTTTTATTATTTTTTATTTTGTTGTAAGCCTCTAAGAATCAGAATGATTCAGGGACATACATTAAATAAATTAAATAAATAAACAAAGCTAATAAATAAGTAAATAGTAGATTTAGATCTTTGGCTACGAAGTAAAGTATATAAATGGCATACCCAAGGGCTTCAAGTAGAGGAATGGAAAACATTTTGAATCTGAAAAGTTTCGAATTTGAAACAGTCATTATGTTTGGAACTGGTTGTCCTAGCCATTCTGTGTTTTATGCCTTAAATAGAGCTCAGGCACTCAGAGCAGTTTCTAACATAAAACAACTGTTTAAACTTGAAATGGCTGTTTTGAATTCAAAACAGAACATTATAAATTCAAAACATTTTGCACGCTTCTGCTTCCAACTTTATGTCAGAAATGAGAAATATCTCAGTAAGAGTCACATGCAGCTGAAATCTGGCATTAGAAAAGTTCATATATGCACCTTCTGGAGGGGCAGGAATAGAAAAATAGTGATCAGTATAGTAGTTTTTGTGATACAATTTAAAATGCCCAATGGCATCTTGATACTGGGCAGTACAGTATATGGAAAATTTTGGTAAAGAAAACAGCATCTAAAAGTTTGCCATGACTACTGTTTCTGCTCAGTTTGAGGACCTAAAGCAAAGTATATTTGAATATGATAGTGGGCAGCAACTGCATTTTATTTTTCTAGGCCAATATTTCTCAACATTAGCAACTTTAAGATGTATGGTTTTCAACATCCAGAATTCCCAACCAGCTATGGAGAATTCTGGGGATTGAAATCCATGTATCTTAAAGCTGCCAAGATTGACAAACATTGATCTATTATCAGTTCAGCAATAGTTTCTGGACTCGTTGCCTCCAGGTGAGGCTATTTTGAGAAATCGGGAAGGAAGATGATCAATTTGTAGCCATTTTGCCCAATTTTTTCTCTTTCTTGGTCAGGTCCTGATTTCATGCCAGTGAAATAAAGAAACATTGCATCAACATGGGCCTGGCATTTTCCAGACCTTTCACCTGCTGATGCCAGGTGGGGCAAAGGTGTTATCTTCCTTTTTTACCCCTTTAGATATTATTCTAGATAGTATCAATGCAGTTCAGTGATTAATATTGATTTTAATTCATATTTCTTACAAATATGGAAGGTTAATATACAATAAGGTGAGCCTATCAAAATACACTAACAAAGCAAAATATTAGATCAATTTATAGTCATCAGACAAAGTCATAGTTCAGTGTTAACAGAATTGTAAAGTTAAGGCTTCCACCTGATTATTTGTAATGTTTATTGTGTTTTGTTTTATTCTTTTGTAATGCTGCAAACATGAAAATTGGGGGGGGGGGAATCAGCATTGGCTAAAAACCTTCCAGCATACTTTCCTAATATTTTGCCAATAAGCAAAATTAGGATTCCTTTGAAATGCATTTTCTCTTTATTTACAAAGATCATAGGATTAATGGCCAAGAGAACCAGTTTGGTCTAGTGATTAGGCACCAGGCTAGAAACCAGATGACTGTGGGATCCAGTCCTGCCTTAGGTATGAAAGCTGGCTGGGTGATTTTGCACCAGTGTCACTTTCATCTGATGACTCATGCTTGGATGACAAGATGGTCGTCAATTCCTGTCAGAACCAATGGATGAACATTCAGTTGATCTGAAAAAAATTGAACCCTGTATTTGGGGAAAATGTAGAAAGGGGAAAAAAGTAGGATTGGAGGAGCAATCACTAAATCCCATTCTTTCAAGAAAGAGGAAAATAGAAAGGAAAATAGGATTTCTGTGCAGAGTCCAGACTGAGGAAGATTCATATAATTCATTCTCAACAGAGGCAAGGGCCTGCATGCATTATAAGCAAAACTTAGTAGTGACTGGACAGCCATTTGTCTGAAATGGTATAATAGGGTTTCCTGCCTGAGCAGGTGGTTGGGCTAGATGACCTTCAAGGTCCATTCCAGCTTTTTTATTGTTGTTGTTATTATTATTTAGATATGAACCTCAGTCAACCGAACATTCAAATTGACTGGCACTAATGGTTGACACAGGTTGCTACCAGCATCCTAGGTATCAACCAGGTACCTCCTTAAAATGTAAGATGTTCTGAGTAGCGCAGTTTTTTGTAACATTGCTGGAGTTATTGCAGGAAGCTGCAGTTTCTTGAAATATTTTGCAAAGTTTTTGGACATAGTTCCCAGTGCCCATGACAATGCCCATGACATTTCATCCATAATCGCGCAGTTTCAATGGCCAGGTCACGACATTTTGTAATTTTTTCTAGTTCTTTTTCTTCGACTCTGGCATTGTCTGGTATAGCAATATCAATCAGTTGTACGCTTCGGTTCTCTACAATTGCAATATCTGGCATGTTGTGTTCCAAATGGCGATCTGTCTGTATTCGAAAGTCCCACAAGATCTTCACCCTCTCATTCTCGACAACTTTTTCCACCCTATGTTCCCACAACTTTTCAGACACAGGCAAGTCGTATTTTTTATACAATGCCCAGTGGATTAAATTAGCAACTCAGTCCAGTCTAGCTTTGTAGTCAGTTTGCGCGATTTTGCTGCACTCACATATTAGATGTGAAACAGTTTTAACTTTGTCATTGCAAAGTCGGCAATTTGGATTGTCAGTGGATTTTTGTATCTTCGCTTTCATGGCATTAGTTTGTAGTGCTTGTTCTTGAGCACCAGTATTAAGCCTTCCCTTTCTTTCTTTCTTTCTTTCTTTCTTTCTTTCTTTCTTTCTTTCTTTC